GGCTCTCCTATCATCCGTTGACATTATACATATGTTTGCGTCTCGCGTTAGGCCCAAACGTCTGAGTAGGGGGTTTGGCATTTCTCATTGCCTGCTCCCGAAAGATATGGGTTCTGCGTCGCGTGGTAGGCAGACCCATTCATCCGAGTAGGGGGCTTGGCAGTTCTGTTGCCTGTGCCCGAAAGGACGTGGGTCATCTGATCTGTCTCCCTACACCTCTCTAGACTTGTAACATCTAGTCTGTCAACAAGATCAAAATTCTTCACACAGACGACCGAGCTTGCTCAGTCTTTCTGTCTCGCAGAATTTTGCTCTTGCTCTTCCTTGGCTGTGTCTTGGATGTGGGACTATTCCATCTCGTCCCAAATGCCGCATCCAAATTATACCGGATTGGACAAAGCGGACGGCCCGCTTTATAAAAGGTGCCTTGTAAAATTGCAAGGTTCATTAAATACCCAATCTTGTGATGCTAGAACTAGGTGGCACTAGCTGAAACCAGCAGGAAACTGTTTTCAAACAAATAAAAGGAAAGCGCTGTACACAGTGGGCAGAACTACTGGAACTTGCTACCAGAGCAATTTGTGAGGGCAAACAAGTATCAAAAGGATCAAAACTGGGTTAGACATATTCATGGAAAACTGGTTCAGGGAATAAATATGGTTATATCCTCTAGCAACCCTTATCCATTGACAGCAGATGATGGGGAAAATGGGCCACAAATAGCATTCTGTCCACTTTCCCTAGAAGCGACTCCTGCTATCACTCTTAGAGACAGAGTGCTGGTCTAGATATATCATGGTTCTGACCTAGTAGGGCATTTAATTTCTTTGTAAAAATTTGCTTATTTGCTTTGAGGCAAATAAAAGATTAGCATTTGTGATAGTTATGTGTTTGAGGGTTTTTTTTTTAACTCTTCATAATTATATTATTTTTATACCTATAGATGTTTTTCATATGCTTTTCAATAAAAGAATTCTCACCTTTATGCTCAGAGAAAATACAGCAATTTTTTCTTACTTAGTCTTGAATAAGAACACCAGTTTAGTTTGTCTTACAAATGAGCTGAGAATAGTCAAAGTTTACCTTTTTTCAGACAAATAGCTTGGAAGGACTATTGAGGAAGAAGTGAAAACTTATAAATCTATTAGATTTATGTAATATCAAAATATTGATGTTTTTACACTTTTAAATCACCATATGTATTTTTATTTTCTTTCTTTCTCTCAGGAAAGGAGACTGAAAAAGCCAAAGATCGGTGTGATAAAGCCACTATGAAGCTTCATATGTTGCATAATCAATATGTGTTGGCACTGAAAGGAGCACAGTTACATCAGCACCAGTACTATGACACTACACTTCCCCTGCTACTTGATTCTCTACAGAAGATGCAAGAAGAAATGATTAAAGCCCTGTACGTAGTATTTTCTTTATTTTTCTAATTTGTACAATTTTATGTATATTCCAATTAATTTACTATTGTTAGAAAGTAATAAACTGTGCTTAAGTAGTTGTATATAAAGGAGCAATGAAAAAAGCTGTTTTTATCTTTCCATTGATAACAATTATCCATAGAAAAGTCTGTTCAAGTAAACACAGCTAGTCGTATTAAGGGGTTATGTATTCATTGTAGTGAGAGTCTGTCTTTACATGAAACTTTTAAAATTGTAGAGATTGTCTGCAGTGTTTATAGTTGAGCTCATGCTTTCTCCTTTTCTTCAGCTGAGATACTATGGAAGTTTGTTGTTTATCCATTTTTTTTGTGAAATTTCATCAGTAGAAAATTTGGGTTTAACTGGCAATTACCTTTTTCTGAAAGATCATTAGTTACATCATTGATGAAAGTGTTCAAATTGATGATCTTGGAGAACTGTAAATGAGGACTTTATACTCTCTCTTCTGATTCTTAACCACCATACTGTCTCGTTCTCTTTCCTGAAGAGAGCAAGTAGATTTAGGAGACTGTTCCGTAGGTCCTGCTCTAGGGCATTCTGAGGACTGTGAGTCAAAAATATTGCTTTTAAGTGACTTATTCTTAAAGAAAACCAGTGTAAGTAAGTGCTTTATGTAAGTATCGTTCATATAGAGGTGAGGCACTCTAACTCATTTTCTGAAATCTGCATTCATCTTCAACACGGAGGAAGCGAGGGAGAGCTGGAGGCTTCATGCTATATCTGCTTAGGTGACAACATTAACTGTCTCATGAAGTATGATGTTACTCCCTTTGATTTTGATAAATTGGAAATCTAAATGAAATAGAATCGGCACAATCTTTTTATCTTAACAGCAAGAGATTCCAGTTAGTTTTGTGCTGTATTAGAACTGTGAGTTCTGATAATTCACTTAAGAATTTTATCACTGAACAAGAACCTATTGAACTAAAAAACAGCAAAAATATTTTTGTCACTAAATACATTGTTAGAAGGATCTGAATTTATTGGATAATTATTGCTGTCTGATAACTTTGGGCTTAATTCCACAAAAATAGGTGGTGATTTCACATATATAGGTGTTGTGGTCATCTTTCAGAAATACATCCATCCATAATAATTTTAATTTTGTAAAGTAAATACAAATAGTTCAGCAAACTTGAATTGTAGATTAATATTAATAATATCAATTTTGGTTTGGTGATAATTGACAGAGCTACTCTTGCTCTTAGATCTGGCATTGCAGTAGTTGACATTGGCTTGTCTCTTTCCTCACACAGTTTGAATTGTTTTTTGAAGCTTTTTCAAACTTGTTCACAGTCAAGTCAAGATTTTATGACTTTTCTTTGTTTTCTCCTCAGAAAAAGTTTTGAAGAAACCCAAGAAAATAATGTTTATGTGCAATTAACATAATTTGAGATATTAGACAGTAAAAGTCTATCAATAGTTTTTGGGGTTTCTTTTCTGTGCACCTTCCTCTGGGTCAGTCATAATTCATCAGTATTTAAAAGAGCTCACCATGCTTTACATCTTAGCAAGTCAACAAATTTGTCACACAAAAAAAATGAAATAGGAAATGATTAGAGGGGTCATTTGTGGAAAGCTAAAAGTTAAAGAGAATAGGATAGTATTCTGGGGAAGTAATCACTGAATACCAGTAAATTAGTAGTAGAATATCACTTATTTTTCTTGTATTATTGCCTAATCATTTACTTCTGCCCTCTGTTGGGGACAGGTCCTAAGGCTAGATGTTACGTGAACATCTTGCTTGATTTTGTTGCTTCTAGTAAATATATGCAAACTTGTGACATGCATATTCTTGTCCTAATGCCTAAATCATAACATTTAAGATGTGAAAGAGCATGGTTAAAACAATAGAGAAAAACAGATCTTAAAGAAAATGCACACTAACTATTTTCTGACTCATTTTGCCATATGTCAGAATATATTTATTTTGTCAGTCAAGGAAACATGAAAGTCTTTAGTCTAAAAGTGATGACTAGTGAGATAAGTCTTCTAGTTGTGGAAAAAAGGGTGTCATCAGTGAGATGTTTACATTCCTTTTC